TTAATATTTGAAGTGAGAGGTCCAGAGTCTGAGTTCTAGGGGGCACAACATCACTCACTGGGAGGTAGGTGTGTCCAGCTGAGTCCCAAACAAGACAGAACTAGCATCCTAGACTCCACTGCTAGCCGTCATTCGCCATTACTCTCAGACTAAAATTACTTGTATTATCATGGTTTCCGCGCAGGAAACCGTAAACTAATAGCGACCGATCAATTCAGTCCGACAATCGACGGGAAAGTACAAGCAATAACATTAATTCGTAACTGGTTCTTATCCTAAAATTTTAGTATTACCTAAGAACATTTGTGTGTGTAAGAGCGGAAGTCATTAATTTTTTTACTATCTACGGAATTAGTGATATCTCAGATATAGCTTAAATCGAAGTCATATTCAGCGTTTTACATTTTTTGCCGGGTAGAATGAATGATTGATTTCACATCAAGAATGATCAACTTTAGTTGTGCATCAGTAAAACTGTAGTATTATAGTTCTTTTGTTTGAAAATTCATTATTCCTGACCATTTTAAAGGTGCTGTTCCCTTCAGCGGTTGTTTTTATATCTCTTTTACATTTTTATAAACCTTGCTTACTAAAACTCACTAGGTGGGAATAACACACACAGATGAAACCAGTATGCACTTGTCAGCATAGTTTAACAAATAGGGGCTGATATGCATATCACATGATTGTGATATAATTCATGCTGGAAAATATATCACAAGACTCACTTGTACTTTTATGTTACAAAACCATGTTATGCAGCAAAGTAAAAGTAAAATTTATAGCTAGCATTTCTAAGTCCCACTATCTTCAGTTAGGATTATCTAGATGTGGATGTTACGGTTTTATTATAACTCTGTGAACTGAGAATCTGCTTGGAAAAGATTCTCTTGAGACAATTTACACATAACTAACAGTGAAGCATTACTTCTTCAGTTTCAAAATAGTATCCTTTTCTAAACTGAAACGTCACTTCACATAGTTTTATACGACGAAACAATTCTCATTTCCCATGATAACTGTATAGTACGTTGCCAATCACTTCAGATATGAATAAATATAGCGATAATGCAATGCACAGCTTACTGGATTCAAACCAAATAAATCAAAAAATGATTGAGATAGCGGATACTTTCTCGTTTTATGCTACTGCTATCAGTTTTGCTTAAAAAGACAATGAATAGGAAAATTAATAAGTTATTTGACAAAACTGGAATGGATATTTGTTCAATCTCTATATGATTCACCATATTTTTTAACGCTAGTTTATCAGTCATATAGAAATAATGACGAAAACAAAACTATGAATAATTTTTTTTCGTTTTGACGAGAACCGATGTAATCATAAGGACGTGTGAGGTTTTTCCAGTGAAAAGTGACGAGGATATGTTGTTTAAATGTAAAATACTTACGGAGTATAAAAAAACAGAAATACATTGTATTATTTACTTGATGACGTTCTGAGCATAAATTACCATTGCTCAAAATCAAATCAATGTAGTCACACAGCTTTTGACATTTGATTTCTATAGTTACGTCATCTCACATGGTTTGTTTTTATTGGGAGTGAAATTTTCCATATCTCTGGCATAAGTGTTGCGTCATTTCTACTACATATGTTGCGTGTTGATTTGATGAACAAAGCTTATCTCTGAGTGAGTTTGTTGGCTTAAGGATCCTATAAAACCAATTAGGCAGAATAACCTAGTCTATCAAATTCCACCTAATGACTATGTGGTCAAGTACATAGGTCAGACTATCCTGTCAGGGTCAGTTAGACTAGCCGAATATAGGAATTTAGCTAAATACAGAATGACAGACTCGAATAAGATCAGCAATGCTCGCACACAACCACACGTTAGGGTGGGATAAATCCACTGTACTTGAGTGGAATATAAATAGGTGGGGAGAGAGGTTGATTACTGAACCCTTGTTCTTCGAATCAACATACAACACATGTAATAGAAATGATGCAACACATACCAGAGATATGGAAAGTTTTACTCCCAATAAAAACAAATCATATGAGATGACGTAACTATAAAATCAGACGTCGAAAGTTGTGTGATTGCATCGATGTGATTACGAGCAATGGTAATTTATGCTCGAAACATCAAATAAATAATACTATATCACTGTGTTATAAATCAAATAAAAAAATCCTATATGAAATGAAATTCTACCACAGTACCCAAGTTTTATACCTATATTAGAGAAACACAATGTATGAAGTTGAATTATTCATGGCTTTGTATTCATCTTGGTGAATCACAGCAGAATCTATGACGTCATCTAAATGAACCTTCACTCCAGTAAGTGAGTGCCCTAGTGGATTAGCTGATGACGTTTCCGCCTTTGAAGCAGTGGGTACGTAGTTTCAGTCTCGGTGGACGAAACACACGTCCTTGATTACACTGCTGGTCATCAAGATGAATATAACATTGTGGTTGTTTTGCAGTATTGAGGCATCCGCACAGGAGGCCATCTGCCAACAGAGGTCCAGCAGTTTCATTCTATATAGCAACAATAAATTACAAGCATCAAACAACAACACTAAATTATTTATCTTCTAAGATACTAAACAAGCTTCCAAAAACTCATGTGTTCACAGTCTCATGTAAGAAAACACTTATTTTTTGACTTTTAAACAGGAAGCATTTACCAGTTTTAAGTGTCCTCGACTCTTATCTAAAGCTTATTGAATAACCATCTCTTCTCAATTACTTTCACATTCATTCAGGATCAACTAACGTATGCCTTCAGTTGGACATGTAACATTTTTCGTAGGTCCTTACATTTTAGTTTACAAATTACGTCTATTTCATTTGTTAGGAACAAACAATAATCATCCGAATTAGGTTTTGTAGTAGATCCATCATCATCTGCAATATTAAATTATATCCATCAACCCATGTTGCTGTGGTGGAAGTTCACATAATTTTTTTCTCGCATAAAAGATACCATGTATGACAACCAGTCGACAAAGTGTGTAAGTATCATACCTCTGGAGTTTTCGGTCAAGTTTTCAATGATTATAAGCAGTGAAAAAGATTGCATTCAACAATAAAAAGGAGGGGATTATGTTTTCGTTATACAGAGCTTCAGATCAGCAAACCAAAAGACTATAAAATACATTTACGCAAAGCATATGAAGGGAAGTGGAAGAATGCTGCTGCATCTAGCTACTTATTTAAAGATTGAATGGGGTAAGTATGTGAAGCTTATTAAATATACATAGTATTCAACTTGGCTGTTATAAATGAACACGAAACAGCTCATTCAAATGATCCTTTTATTTTATTCTTCTATAGACCGAGTGATTTCAGGTAACATATAAGCTTAACCTAAAAGGATACTGATTAAGAAAGTAACTAAGGGTTTCCCTGGTATATCAAAAAATTAAAAAAATTACAAGGAAAATGTAGGCAATCGTTCGCATTTAGGTGTAAAAATCCATCCTTACAGTGAAGTTGAATTATTACTTCCTTCAAGATAAATTTAATTGTTCCTGTTTCTCTAAATGAGACTAATGAGAAAGTAGAAAAACAAAACTACTCACCTAAGCTATTACGGAGCCGTTCAGTTTATTCCGAATTGTATGAATAACTAAATCTCACTCTTTGTCTTATGAGATTTTTGTATAAGCGAACATCGTTGTCGAAAGAAAAATTTCAGATAAACTAGAGAGGTTAAGCAGCTGAAGTATTTGCTTCTTGGTGAGACGAGTAGTTTGATGCAATCCTTAGATATATATACAAATGATTGAGTGGTTGATCAGAAAATTCGTTTAAAACTTCTGTTAATGATAGTGTCTGAGGAATATAAAGGTAAAAAATGGCCATATTTATGTCCGTATCCTGTCTATGGATCTTCTGATGAATCTGTACTTCTTCTGTATTTTGCTTATCTTTAAATAGTAGTGATATTTCAACGGTTAAGCCTAGAAGATAAACAGTAGCCTATTGTGGAGCGTATATTAGTTAAAAATGAATAGTTTGTAGTGAGAAACAGAGGTTAGTTATTTGTATCTTGTCTCCCGAATTTCGTATTGCAGTCTATTGACTACCAATGAGAGATAACTGATATACATAATCCGATAAAAACATATGAAACTGAGTAAAACTGTATTATTATTAATTACTATGAGTTGTACTTATCATTTATAGATAATCAATATCGCTAGGAATCAAAATATGCAGACTTGTTCATAAAATGTTGCTGCAGTCAGGATACCTAAGTATCAAGTTTCTGTCAACAGACTTCACTGAGTTTCAAAGTTGACATAAAGACATCTGTTATCTTCTGATTAACGTGTGCATCTGATGTTTTACGGACTGAATGTACTGAACAGTATTGTTAAAGTATCCTTTGGTAAATAGCATCATTTTGAAGATGATCTCAGTTATTTCATGCATGACACCTCGGTATAAAAAGTTGATCAGTTGAAGTTCAGTATGCTACAACTCAACGTAATCAATGTGATGTAAGGTAATAAGGACCATTGTTCATATATATATATATATATATATATATATATATATTAAAAGATTGTTATGATCAAACGTAGACACTCTAAAACGTATTTGTAGACAACTTTAAACAGTGTTTGTTTTTTGAGTTAATTTTTTGAGTGAACAAAAAAACTACAATTTATATCTTTAATTCTGATGAAAGTCGGTTTGAAGAATGCAGCACTGTTACGCTTAGTCAGTGGGTCCCCGACGATGCATAAAGATTAGAAATCCTACGCATGGACAAAACGTCTGTCCATTGCCTCCATGTTTTCGGTGAATTGTCAACCAATTGCAGACAGCGATAAATATTATCTTGATATCAAAGCGAATTAGATGATAAATTATTTAGTTTGAAAATGAGACAGGTGCAAAAATGAGTTACTGAATGATTGGCACCTTCAAGGTGACAGATAGCAACCAGTCAGCACAACTTCATCTCAAATCCAAAATATATAAATATATATCCAGAATAAGTTATTAACTTACATTAACCATCTTCATGTCAAGTTTCTTATCTTTACAATAATTGACAAGTTCTTGCTTGTCAACAATTTCATTATTATCTTTGTCTAACTCGAAAAATATCTCAATTAATTTTTCCATAATGTTGTTGTAGATTTTCAGTACTTATTTACTATTCAAAGGAAAAATAAGAGAAGAAACGAAGCATTTCAATGAATCGAAAATGGGAATATTCTGAAGACAATAATAGACAAAAAAGAGGTTGCTTTACCGTTGCTGCAGTAAAACTATCAGCTGGCAAAGACCATGTGCTTCTTTTTTACAAGTTGTCAATTCTAGGCGTATATGTGTTCACATAACTAACAACTCCAACCTCAGATTAATATCAGGTAAACATCTCATTGAAAATTGTAATCGTATATACACATTTATAGGCTTTTGTGGAATAAATCTGTTGGCAAGAACACCATAATGCAAACTAATAACCACATTTTTGCCAACTGTAATTCCTAATCTCTCGTGGTATTTATGAATGTTTAAACAAGAGTTCTTGGTATAGATGAAAAATTCATTTTATTCTGACTGATTTTAAATGAATGTTTGACCGATATAAAATTATTGCGAATCATGTTTAACAATAAACTTAAGACACAAACGAAATTACCCAACACTGTAATGGAATAAGGTCTTAAAAAACAGTTTACATTACCTCAGAAAATTTAAATCCAATCATTCGCTGCTTTTATTTTTAAAGATGAAAACAGAAATTCTCTGTAGAAATCAATCCTCGCATAGAGAAGAAATACGTTTATCACGTTATATACCTAAGTCTATTTTGTATGTGCTCTCTTGTGTAGGTAACGGAGTAGATGGTCACGTGTACACTCACATGAATTTGTGTGTAGATGTGTGCAAAATGAAATCGATAAAAAGATTTTCAAGTGTGATCAGACATACGCACTATATACATACATATTTGTACATCAGATGTGTAAATTTCAGTGTGGTATCAACTGTTTGAAGCATGATGTGTTGTGCTTGAGTACACAGTTTATCCATTGGTTAGCAAAGCGTAGTCCCTGTATCGCCTTGCACTTTACTGTTTAATCAGCCGTATTAGGAGAAGAATGCAATTTGTCCACTTTGCTAGTGTATGCTAAATACTGGAGAGAGTATACGTTGCCAAACACGATCAGCAGGATGTTTCCAATCCAGTTCCTACAAAAATCTTCCACTAGTCGTTTATATTACACTAACCTCTCTTTTTTTACTTGAACTTAAGAGGATAGGTTATATTACAGTCAGTGTCACTTACGAGATGCTATGGGTCACAAAAGTTATGTAAAATTAGGTCGTATGACGATTAGAACTAAAGTGCCTCAATCTTTTTTCGCCTAGAAACTCATCAATATAATACGATGAAAAGTCAAGTACTCATGAGCGTTGGAACTAGGATGTAACTTTAAAAAGATGAATGAGATGAGTCCGTATTTTGAAAACAGATATATTTCTTTGTATATGAATTTAGACTTAGCGGGATAAACTAGATCTGAGGTTGGTAAATTTTTGAAGAAGTGACTTGATAACCAGTAAACTTATAATTATTTTTCGTGTAAGTTTTACAAATAATGGCTTCATACCTGAGGTTTTTTCTGTCGAAAAAATTAAATTTGTTTTCACCAGACTTTTGTTATTACATCTTAGGCACTAAGTTGGAAATTTGATTACAAAGTTCGTAAAAAATATCAGAGCAAACAAATCAGTCTATATATACTCCAGTTATTTGAAGAAGTAGGAGGTTGATGAGCTGACAAAATAGTTGAGAAATAAGGGAATTCGCCAACATGAATAGAAAACGTACTTCGATGGCAGCTAAATTTTACTGCTGAATAGCATACAGCAAATATCCTTCTATCTTTGGAGCACTGATCAGAGTGTGTTCGTGTAATGACATTTTTAACTGCATCGACATAAAAGCATATCACTTGCTTGGATTGCAACATAATATAAATTTGGTGAATATGATTGTTTTACATTATCTTAGGCTGATGGATAGTTACCTCGATGGCGCACTTGCACTTCGTTCACTTACCACAAACTAATGGACTTGCCAATGTAAAGAAAACAGTTTCTAAAATATTTATTTACACATCGTTGTGAAGGTGTTTTGCTGTTTTGCTGCCTTTTAGAGTGGAAATAGATATTTTCTTACAAAAGTCTCTCCAAAAGGTATTTTATTGTGGTAATTCATGCGTTAGGTCAAAACATTTGTTAGGGAATTATTAAATACTGTCATGAGGCAGGAATATTTACAACTGGTCAGAAACCAAACACATCGATACACAGGTTTCGTGATACTTGTCAGTAATTTAAACAGCAGATGGTCGCCTGGTTAATTTACCATCAAGGTCATTAGCTATGTCACTGGAAACATTCAGCACGTATAAGTATTTTACAGATCCACTGACTGGTGCCAGTTAACCTGGATAAACTAGAATCATTTTCTTAAGATTATAAATACACAAGTTTTTTTCGTTAATAATATATGTAGATAGTACAAAAACTACTAATATGCGAGAAATGTCACCATAGTTCATACAGCCTGTGTGTAATGTTCAAATTGGTCACATATTATAACGGAACGTTTTTCTGTTTTCAAGACTTCACATTTAGTTATATGTCAAGATGAAAAATAACACTCCAATAGATAAAGCTATAGCTTATATATTGCATGATAACTATTTTGTGGTCACAAACCTGCCCCACATACGACTGTTGATAATAAATATGAACTTAACATAAAGATTCACCTAAAAAGTTCGTTACATTTGATGCTTTACATAGTTTGTTCTTTTGCCTGGTATATTCACGTTGACCCTTTCGTAGTCATCTCACAAATTCGGTAAATATTGTTTCAAAACTTAGCGGAATGTGCCAAACATAAGAAGAGCACTGATTAATGGAGATTGAATCCAGCTTAATATCTGCAATTTTCAATTATTGTGACCATTTTAAATTACTTTAGTTCAATCGACTATTTCTGAAAAATAAATTTCTAACAAAAAGTTCTTTTAGTGTAGACATAATTCAGTAACATGACCATATTTTCTGATATGCGAAATTAATTTTTGAGCAGAACAGTTAGTTTAATAACTCTAAGATGTGTAGTTTGTCAACAAAAAACTTCAGGAACCGTTGCTATCGAGAAGTTAATGATATGTCGGTAAACTAACTTAAATGTTTGTGCCTTCAATTGTATGATCTGCATAAGCACTGAATTTTCACGATCATTTGGTTTTATGCGATCCACAGGTCATAACGATGGTGTGAGTAGAAGAACAATGATTCAAATAGAACAGTTTATTTCAATGAACAAGGTAAACAATTAACAGACTTCAATAAGTTATCTGAGTAACCTTTTTAAAATACTCCTTATTTCTATGGAGTGGTTAGAAAGTGTTTTAAACCTTAATCATGTACTTTTTAGCCTCTAAATTCAGATTCGTGTATAATTTGTGCATACCTTTCAATGAAAAGAGAAAATTGTAGCCACTTCACTGGTTCTTCTAAACATACACAAACTTTTACCCAGAAATTTTTCAGTATACCTATTCCAACCAATTGAAATCTGTTTTGAATTATCTTTCATTAAATCAAGATGAATAACTGACAGATGGATGTATACAAACTCATAAGTCCCATGAAATGAAAAGAATTGGATATTTTTTATTCACTTATTCTTTTCTCCCATTTTGAACCGATATTACAAGTTGAAGTGACGATATTGTTTTGTGATATTTATTTATTTCTATTCCTATCCATATTCCAGTGAAAGAAAATTACTACAAAAGCAGGTAACAAGGGGAGGCAAAAAGAAGTATTCGTTTCTAAATCAACTGAAGCAAATTCAAGATGTGCGCTGCACAAAATGATATTATTTCTATGCTAAAGAATCGAAACGTAGCTGCAGATAAAATTGATATCACCTCTCTTGGTATCTCTTTCATTAACACCTGCCTTAATCCAATTTTAATATTCTATATATTTGATGCAAATTTAGGGACACAGTTTCTCAGTATAATTATAATGCTACAGATGACTTTCGAATGGTTCACATCAATTGCTTATATTCTGTTTGCATTTTATCCAGTAGTTAAAAATGATCAACTATGGTTAAATGTTATAATCTGTCATATGTGGAGTAGTACATTTATGTACAATTTATTTATCATGTTCTGTAAGTACAATGCTGTAACAATGTTGATTGAGCGCTGTTTTCAAATGCTCTATCCAAATAAAAACATATTGGATTATCCACACACTGTATTCACATCTTACTGTTTTGCAATGATATTTGTAATGGCAATTAACTTGAGATTTACTGTCGTGGTTCAAGTTGATTCACAAGGTCAGTGTGTAGCTGCCGGTTCTAATCCAGCACACAACATACATAGTCAGCAACTCTTAGTATTCGGTTATTTATGCCTAATATTACTTTTAATTCTACCAGCTATAACCATGACAACGTGTTATATTCTCATGTTGATTCACTACATAAGAAAAAAGCATTCAAATAAAAATTTTAAGGGTTTCGATAAAAGTAATCTACAGCACATATTAACTTTACTTGTAATTATCTGGTCGGTTGAAGCGACAATGGTAAATATATTAGATATGACTTTATTTTATAAATTTCAACTTAAAGGCTATACAACATTAGCACAAACAATTCGTAGTACAACTGGATTAGTACGTACGTTATTTTACCTCAGTCGTACATTTAGTCTATTTGTTTTCATACAACCAATTCGTAAAAGATTTAGTGGTCATATTCTAATAATTGTTAAATGTTTTACAAAAGTGTTTAAACACAGGCAAAGAGAAAATGAAACAATATCAAGGTCAACAGAAGCAAACTTCTGAATTATTTTTTGTTTGTGACAGAAACTGAACAATTGTTGAGTTAAAATTTTTATTTCTTCTCTTCCACTTGTTATCCAATGATGTTTTGATTTCGTATCATTCATCTTTGTGATTATTCTCCGGCATCACCTTAAAACTATAACCATATGAAAGACCTTAAGTGTTTTAACTCAAGACATAAAGCGTTTTCAAACGAAATCTCTTTTCAAATGCTTTAAAATGACAGCACGTGTTAGCCTTCATACTAATAAATGTGCATAACAGTATACTAACACTGAATGACTGAGATCATACAACCCTCTTTATTCCAGTTATGTAGAGTCAAATAACGAAAGAGAAATTCGAAGAATGCTGTCGTCAGTAGTTGTGATCGTTACACTTATTGACTATACAACAGTATCATCATTTCCTAAACAAATGTCAAATTGTGCGGGTTTTACTATTGAGTTGTTTAGTAAAACAATATCGTACAAAAAGGTTATCCTCATTATTTTACTTTGTTATGACCAGATATTTAGGTATTGTCCGGTCTACTGAGAACCCTTTTACAGTCATTTGTGCAAAACGATTTGGAGATATACACCTAATCCGGAATAGTGAGAAATATGATTAACGGGCTTGCGCCTAATATTGAGAGCTGAAGCTGCGTCTTGATGAAAGAACATGTCAAACATGACTCACTATAGATTCTGCTTTCATCCATAATCTGTTTAAAGTCAGCCTATGCAGGCGTTGTCTTGCTCACTGTCAGAGAATAAGAAATATAAAACGAATGCCCCATCAGAAGTTTATGCTGTTATTCTCCTTCTACAGTTAGTTTGAAGGCCTAAATAATTTTTCCGGATCTAGTTACTACAGACAGAAAAAATTTACTCATAGGCCATCCGCCTAAAGCAGAAACTAAAGAGTCTGTTTATAGAAATATTTCACAGAACAATGTCAGTAGTAGATTTTGTGAACTAGATCAGAGGCCCAAACACTGGATAACTGTTTCACTCGTCTGAGGCCGACCTAAGCACTATTGTGTCCAATAAATACAACTCACAGACCTTAATTATTTAAGCCGTATGAATCTGCCTATCTGGCTTTGAATTATTCACTCACCTGAAAGAAAACTTCGGTGATGAAACAAATTTCTGAAAAGGAATGATATTTGTTAGTAGGAATACCACATTACTTCTTAAGTTCATTAAAGTTTTTCGATAACAGTAGAATAATCTTTTGTAGCAATCGCTACTTAAATAAACTATTGGCTTTGAAAGAGGGTTACAGTAGGAATATATTCAATACTTTATGTGTTCTAGCGCATTTTTGGAGTAAGATTGTTGAGGTGGACTCATGAAACATGCGAGTTGTTACACGACAACTTTCATCAAAAAGGAGTATCAACTTGCTGCTCTTTGTATCTTAAAACTCTTTTGATAACAAAAACTATTAAGCCTCTAAGAGATCCATACCGAAATTTCAAATTGTTCTGATGAGTATTGTAATATCTATTCTCCGAGTTGTTATGTTTTGGTTTCATTCAAGGACTGACTATGTGAAGTTATCATTAGTAGTTATGAATGAATGAATAAAATGCACTCAACAGCCTTGCGCTCATTCCTGTGATGGGCAATAAGCCACACCTGCCATATGAGGGTCGATAATACTACATTGCTGTTCGAACCCGGGTAGGTAAAGAGGGTCTCGAGTCTATGACTGAATGATTGGAAATCGTCTTCCTAAACCAAAGTGCCACAGCTATCAGCATTTGCGTCCGTATTATTTTTGAGTTCATGGGTTACACTGGCTAACTGCATCATACATTCATCAGCTTTTCACTTCATGTGTGGTACTGTTACAGAAAGATATTTGGACTAATCAGGTCCCCACAAACAACCAAGGAGACTAAAAGATTTTTAATTCATACATGTCAACTGACAAAATTTGTGTTGGAATTTTTCAGGTTGTTCAAAATGTCACACATTCTTATTCGCTGAAATTTTGCACTTTTGGTTGTAAATGCAAACGCAAATAATTGGACAGTTCGAAGATATCAATAATATTATTACCCAGAATTGTGGCCCCTGCATTTAAATTTAGGACCGCAAAAACTCTGAGATTTACCCAACGTTCCGCTTTGCAAAATCCGTTAGGTTATATATTGGTTACATCACTTTTAAGGTTTGGTACTATAAATGATACACTAAGAATAGGTAAAAACCTTTGTCGTAATCAACTCAAATTTCATGAAATGTGCTTGAATCCAGTTCATCTGCAAAAATTATTTTCAACTTCAGAAAACGTTTGCATGTCTAACTGGTTCAGAGAGCTTTTCATCTAATATGCTATGCGCATTTGGACAGCTCAGTTACATGTTACTGTCGATACCTAAGATGAACTTCATCTAACTGATAAACAAGAATAAAATCAGTGTAGTGTCCAAAGACTGAAAATCTAACATAGATTATTATAATGTTCTGTATAACAAGAATGTATGAGGCATGAATGCTAGTTCTAACTATCCACACAATAGTTATAACGAATGTCCTGAAAAAATATGAGCACTAATTTTGATTTAATCATTATATATGTTAATACTATGGTTCTAATGTGTTAAAAACATCAAAATAAGGTCACTGCGTAAGCCACAAGCGGAATACTTTGACTTTTATTAGAATTGGAGTAATTAGTGTTGAAAAAGCTGCGGAGTATTTACCTGATCATCATAAAGAATTTTTTTGGGTTTTCGAAACACTTTCAATTTACATTAAAATGAATTCCTGTTCAGTTGATTAGATTAGATTGTAGGAAAATAAACCCAAGTTATTAAAATTTTGCCTCCATGGTCACAAAGCAGCTTATTTCAATTCCAGGTTGCAATTCAACTAATTATTTATAAATAAAACACATTTCATTAGTTGGGTGGAAGCTCTGGACCAAGGTTTCGTGCTTGTCGGCACTGGTCAACAAGGTACATCTTAAATATCAAGGATACTTATATGTTCCTATAGATTTGAACCTGCTTCAAGCAATGCTGTAGTAAGAGACATTACCACTAAAGTGTTTGAGAAGCTAATGACTTCTTGCTAGACCATGTTAAGCACACTGCTTGGTCACAGGAAAGTAACCAGTTTCATTCTATATATTTTTGTCATTGATAAAAACAAATAGTACTTGACTAACTTCCTAACTGATATACAATGGAAAGCTTCCTAGAATAAGTTTCTATATACCACAGCTTCATTTCTGATTGATTCCAAAAGACTTTTGAAAATCCACTTTAAACTTTGTTTACTTTTCAGTTTTGACGAATGTATATTGTCAATAATCACAGCAATTACTACTGATCACTAAAATTGAAGTGTTCAACAACTTTTTAAACATCAACCTGTATGCGGTAGACTTATCAAATTGCCGTGTTTTCATGCTCATTCACATCAACTCAATTTCGATGATTTTCGATGACTTTTGAGAATGTAGGCTAACTAATAAATTGAAAACTTAGGGTTCGATAAATAACACAGATAAAACAATAGAATCTGACTAGTTAGCAGACCCATACGTATAACATTTGGTTCCCAATTATATGTATCCTGTTCCTTTGAGGATTAACCATGTAATCTGCTTTGCAGCAGTATTCTGATCAGATTTAAGTAACAGACGCTATACAGAATCAATGTATTCTACCAAATAAACGAATATGTATACTAATCGACTACCAGTGAACGACTAATGTGGCAGTCTTGCGCTTGGTGTTGAACATTCGTCGAAGTTTCTCTATCAAGTTTACAATGTGACCAGGTAGCTAAGTGGCTTCACATCACTTTGCATTGTATTGAGGTGTTCGGTTTTGCTGACTGAGTCGTGTACACGATCTAGTTCCGCAGTTGGCCAGCAACAACGTAAACAGCTTGGTGGTAATGTGTCTGACTTCAGTACTGAATGAAACCGATTAGAATCACCCAGAGAATAAACGTTTCCTCATGGCGACAGAAACGCCTTGTTGATAAGGGGCAACAAGCAAAAAATCTAGATGCATCATAATACATCTTCGTTCCTTTCAATTCATGTAGGCAATAATAAACATGAATTCAAATGGGAAGTACGAAGAAAACTGAGAAATTTTCGGTAGTTTGACATCTAAGTCAGTCAGCATTTATTAGACAAACTGATAACTACCCAATCTTCCTAACAAACTAAAGCACTAAAAGCAACAAGAAGTCTGGATTTCAAGTCACCAGGAAAGTCAATCAAAACGTGTTGAGATGACAAGATTATAACTGAAATAAGAAACTACACTCTAGTTTACCAGGCTAAATTACTAAGCTAGTGATAGATAAATGCTCATAGAGCATTTCTTTATAAAGTCTAGCTATTGCTGCTGCTATGAATGATAATGAAATCTTTCAGATTAAACCATTTAGTTCAGAGAATACAATAAGACAAAAATCATTCTTTTATGCTACAGACATTGTCCGTCATCTGGAAATATAAACTGGAAGTGTCCCGTTTCTTGGGCTGTGTAGTTAACATACCTAGAATTCATGAATGTCTTATGAGATCTGTAAACGAGACAGTGAAAATTGTTTGTAATCGGAAATTCATCGGAACAAACTTTATTTTGATATCATCGTCTTTTTGAAGCATACCACGACTAGATAAGAAACATTACATTATGAATTTTAACGTCCACAAATATGCTTCGTCTGAGTGAGAAATACGCAGTGTTTATTTAGAAAACGTCTAAATATCTTGTCAGCACATTACTCAGTATTTATCTACCAGTACAGTTCGTTGCTGTTCCAGTAAATCAATTCCAAGCAACTGACAATTATTAAGAATACTTACGAGAGTTGATCAAATGAGACTGTTTTTCATATGCATATATGCCTAGTTAGTTTGATTAAAACGTTATATTTTTTAAGTTTTACATTTGAGAATCTGAAAACAATTTTGACAATTAAATCAGATAACGTTTAGTATCCTCCACACCAATTAAGTTTCCAGGAGGACAA